TTTTGAGGCAAGTAGTTTATTGAACTTGTATATACATGTTGTGATTATTGAATTATTGCATCGTTTTGTTTGCTCGAAAATATTTGATATAGGTTTTATTGTTATTTTGATATGGTATAAATTTTTTTTTGGGCAAGTAGAAGATTAATGTACGTTTTCAATCATTGTGATATTTCTTTAAATTTTTAAATATTATGCGATATTACTAAAGGATGTAGAAGAAGTTTACGTAGGTTGGTTTTTGTTTAATCAATTCTGTGACGTTGGAATTGTATTTTCAAGGAATACTATTGTGATAGGCTCCTAATTTGATTATTTAAGAATGTTATTTGCAAATATCACGATCCTTTGCCATTTTTAATAGATAGACACGTTTTTTAGAAAGTGACTTTTTTTATCTTATCTATATTTCGTTATTCATTTATCTAACTTAGGTATTGTTTTTTCATTAGGTCTTTCACGACCCTAAAGACGTCGACAATTAGGAATGCGACTAATTGGTGGATGAGCTTCATTGTCGGGGTTGGTGTGTAGGGAACATGTTTAATTCTGTAATTCTGTAATTTGTGTTTGAGAATACTAGTATATTCTAAATTAATATATTAGCTTCCTTGTTCATGGTTAATATAATTCAACTTTGTTATCTAAATTAATATTTTTGCGTGTTCGATCGACAATTTGACTATATGATATTTTTATTATGCGACATCTACAATCAAAATTAAATACATTTTCTGTGACTTTTTTTATCGTCACAAAAATATTTTTTAGGACGATTATTGACCGTCACGAAATATTCAAACGTTACGAAAGGAAGTCACGTGACCTTTCCTCCCTGTTCAAGGTCTTTCCGTGACCTTGTATCACCGTCATGAAATCATTTTTCATGATATTTTATGAACATCGTGGAAGTCCATGTCTTTCATGACGGTAATTAACGTCACGTGTGCTAATTTTTGTGATATTTTTTAAACATCTCGTATACATTTCGTGATGGGCGTATACGTGACGGCGTTAAAAACGTCACGAAAGATTTTTGTGACGTTTAAAGATTTTTGTGACGTTAAAAAAAATGTACGATAAACTGAATTTTTACTAGTGAACCCTAACATATGGTGAAATAATTCATTTCATTAATAGTGAAGGACTTGTTTAATAATTCATTTCATTAACAGTGAAGTACTTGTTTTATGCACAGACCTTGAACTCAAAGAGAGACAGGAATTAGAATCTTTTTTAATCCCAAAGTTATGTTACGTCTATGTAATATCAGGTTCATTTTAATTAGTCTAACCCAAAGCCACTCCCTCCTTAACTTATCAAAATTAATTACTATTACGCCATGTTTACTTCAAGAAAATGGAAATGAAGGAACCTGAATCAATTTTTTTTTTAATTTCATTTGATGGTGTTTACCAAATTGTTGGAATGAGAATCAAATGGTGGGATCCACCCACTTTTTTCATTTATATTCTCTAAAAAGAGGCAATCTCATTCTTCTCATACAACATGGTCAATCTCATTCTCATTCCTTATTTCGTGGATTCCACTAATAGATGGATTTTAGGTCCAGTAATTTAGGGCGTTTTTTAGTTATTTGATAGGTTTTACGAACATTTTCTTTGGATGGTTTAATCGTTTTTAGTATTTCTTTCTTTTGTAGGACTTGAGTTGAAGAGGAGGAAAAAAAGAGGAATTTTAGACGAAAAATGATTTTTTTAGAGGGAAAAGTTGGGATTTTGAAAAGATCAGGAGGAACACGAAGAACGGAAGCTTGAGAAATCGTCGGATTTGTTTTCTTTCTCTTCTTATTTCTCTCCTTTAGCTTCAACTTCCTTCAATGATGTTGATTGAGATTTTCTTTTTGGATTCAAGCATGAACTAAATACATTTTCTAGGGCACTGATGTAGCATTTATCAAACTTTACTCTTCTATGTTCTTTATTTGATTTTCTTTCTAAACTTGTTGGTTGTGAGAACTTTTTCGATTCTTAATGCATTGTTTATATTTGGTCATTCTTTACATTGATTCTTTGTCATAAATCGAGGTTGAGAACCAAGATTATTGACTAGATTTGAATATATAGTTCTCTCAAATTAAAGCAAGAGATAGAGATATTCTTGTGAATTTTGTGGCATATGTTTTGGGTTCTACGTGCTTAAATATTTGAATTGTCAGAGTAGTCATAGAGATATAGATACTCTACTTTTTGAAATAAAAATCGTTATTTCTTGAGAAAAAATATCGAGTCAATAGGGTATACGCCAACAACCATTGTTTAGAAAAGTTTCGAATAAAGTAGTAGGAAGAGTTAAAGGGTGATATCGATGAAGTCATGCTCTAGAGTTTAATCCACTTGAAATTACTCTTGATTCTTGATAGTTGTGTTATTTTCTTATGTTATTGAACTAGTTTCTTTTAGAATTACTTCATTTCACCAGCATTAAAAGTTCGACATTTAGATAAAATTGAAGTGGAGAATTTATTTGGTAATTAGTAATCATTCATTCCCTGTGGAGACGATATTTTACTTACTTCTATATTAGTTGTGACGATTTGTACACTTGCGAATTCGAACAACACTCACACATTTATTGCAATCACTTTTCTACTTTTACTATTTCTCTCTCATGATTAATCAGACCCATAACTTTTTATTTAATTGTTTTATACTTTTTTATTTCTTTTTCATTTATACTCCTAATAATTTTTCTTTTAGTAAAAATTTACAGTGATATTATTATAAAATATTTAATTTTTAACTTTTTAATTTAATTTTGTTATTATTAATTAATATCATATTTTTTAAAATATAATTTATTATTATTAATTGTTATAATAATAAAATTTAGGGAAAAATAAACCTTTGGTCCTTAAAGTTTGGTGTAGGTGTCTATTTGATCCTTGAAGTTTCAAAATAGATACTTTTGGTCCTTGAAGTTTGGAATAAGTACCTATTTGGTCTTCGAAGTTTTAAAATGAACATTTTTTGTCTCTGAAATATGTAAAGTAATTCTAAATGGTCCTTAAATTACTTTTACCGTTAGTTTGACTAACATCAAAATGACATGGCAGCTAATTTTTATTAATTTGATAAAATATATTAGTTTAATAATATTTTTAGTTTGACCGGACAGTCCATATCCTTCCCTCTTATTCTTGTTATCCTCTCCGACGAGCCTCACCACCGCCATTTTCATGCCTTCGCCCGCCCTCCCATTGTGATGCCTCAAGCACATAGACGAACCACTCAACCCATACATTTCGTCGACCTCCGTTAGCATATTGGCCTGTTTTGCAAACCGGCCTTTGATTCTGGGTCGGGTTTCTGCATAAGCTTTTCTTGAAGTGTACCAGATTGTCTTCTCGAACTTCTGGTTCTTCTTCTCCTCTCTGTACCTCAACACTCTCGCCTCCCGATCCATTCCACACAACTGAGTCGCTTGGTTACCGGATCCCGACATCGCTAAACCCGAATCCACCCCGGTTTGACCCAACGGGTACGATATCTCCGACATCGAATTCCCTTCTGGAACTACTCCAACATCTACGGAAGAGGACGACACCTAAATCAAATTAGAACAAACGTGACTTAATTAGTTTACTCGACGATGACTCCTGGTGAGAACTGAAATTCTGATTGGGGAGGGCTTCCTCGCAAGAAGCTTTATAGTCAGGGGTGACACAGCTTGTTTGCATGGCTAATTAAGAAAATTTTTGTTTTAATTGGAGTTAGGTGGTCGGGCTATTTACGTTGTGGCTTAGGGGTTGAGATTGATAGTCGAATGAATTGAGCTTGGATATGCAAAAATCGATGTCAAAGCAATTTTTCAGGGGTAGATAGTGGCTTCGTCTGAATCGGGACGACACTATCGTTAATTGCGCTCTGATTGGCTGGATTTGGATAGTCAAAATCAATAAAAGAATCAATTTCATTTTCAGTGAAGATGATATCCCCACCACCATCGGTGCCCGATTTGATTTCAGGGCCGTCCTTGTGGGTCCAATAAAAGTTGGAGTTGCTCTCCCTCCCTTGCAAATCTGCAAGAGGACTCTCGTCGTCGAAGCTTCATCTTCCCAGTATTTAAATTTTTAGAACTTCCTCCTTCAGATTTGAACAAGAAACCACATGGCGACGACGAGGTATGTTGCCTGAAGCAACGAGACGGCGGGCGGAGGCATGGAAATGACGATGGTGACGCTCGTTGGAGAAGACAACAAGGAGAGGAGGGAAGAAGATAGAATGTCCAGTCACACTAAAAATATTATTGAACTAATATATTTTATTAAATTAATACAAATTAACTGCCATGTCATTTTGATGTTAGTCAAACTAACGATGAGAGTAATTTAAGGACCATTTATAATCATTTTACAAATTTCAGGAACAAAAAATGTTCATTTTAAAACTTCAAGGACCAAATAGGTACTTATTCCAAACTATAATGACCAAAAATGTCTATTTTGAAACTTGAGTGATCAAATAGACAACTACACCAAATCTCAGGGATCAAAAATGTATTTTTCCTAAAATTTAATATCAAACCTAATCGTACCCATATATGAATGGACACATCATTTCTCTCGACAGACACCTCGACCCAACAATTGCATCTCATAGAAGTTTTAATTGCAAAATAGGTATTTATTAAAAAGTTGAGGGTAAAATGGGCAAAAATTCTTCTCCATATACTATTTATCTATCGTATTGATGAAACAGTCATTGTTTTTTTTAAGAAAAAGATAGAGATTGTTATTCGTAGTAACCAATAAAAGTTTAAATATTGTAAGTCACATAGGTAAGAAATTAGAATGGACGAGATAAAAAAAAAAAAAAGTGGATAACATGATTACATGGGAAGTTGGTCGTGTCTGGTCCCACGTGTAAGGTAATAAGAGAAAAACAATATGAGTTTAAATAAAGAGATGGAATGAATTGTTAAATGAATATTGGTTTGTGTTAAAAGATATTGTCGTGTATTTGAGGTGGAGTGTAAACTAATTTGAATCTAATTATTATTTCAGGTCAAATCAGAAATTTGAGTAGCCTTTGTTGATGCTGCAGTTTAATCATATTAACTATTTTTAACGGTAAAATATTATTATTAATCCTAGAAGTTTTGTCGTGGATATATATATATATTTTTTTTGCAACAATTAAAGTTTGACTCCACTGTCTATTAAACACTGTGGACTGAATCAAGAAATAATTCTCTGAAACGAATAAATGGTAATAATTGTAAATAAGGAGAATTGGTCTTTACCTCCGCTGTACTTTCACACTACTACTGTCTATTCTTTTGCCAAAAAGATGAGGCCATTATGTGGGCCCCTT